GCTCCTGCACCTCCCAGCTGCTCCTGCACATTCCTGCACCTCCCAGCTGCTCCTGCACATTCCTGCAGCTACTGCACCTCCCAGCTGCTCCTGCACATTCCTGCAGCTCCCTGCTGCTCCTGCACCTCCCAGCTGCTCCTGCACATTCCTGCAGCTACTGCACCTCCCAGCTGCTCCTGCACATTCCTGCACCTCCCAGCTGCTCCTGCACATTCCTGCAGCTACTGCACCTCCCAGCTGCTCCTGCACATTCCTGCAGCTCCCTGCTGCTCCTGCACCTCCCAGCTGCTCCTGCACCTCCCAGCTGCTCCTGCACCTCCCAGCTGCTCCTACACATTCCTGCACCTCCCAGCTGCTCCTGCACCTCCCAGCTGCTCCTGCACATTCCTGCACCTCCCAGCTGCTCCTGCACCTCCCAGCTGCTCCTGCACATTCCTGCAGCTCCCTGCTACTCCTGCACCTTTTTGCTGCTCCTGCACCTCCCAGCTGCTCCTGCACATTCCTGCAGCTCCCTGCTGCTCCTGCACCTTTTTGCTGCTCCTGCACCTCCCAGCTGCTCCTGCAGCTCCCTGCTGCTCCTGCACCTCCCAGCTGCTCCTGCACCTCCCAGCTGCTCCTGCACATTCCTGCAGCTCCCTGCTGCTCCTGCACCTTTTTGCTGCTCCTGCACCTCCCAGCTGCTCCTGCACATTCCTGCAGCTCCCTGCTGCTCCTGCACCTTTTTGCTGCTCCTGCACCTCCCAGCTGCTCCTGCAGCTCCCTGCTGCTCCTGCACCTCCCAGCTGCTCCTGCACCTCCCTGTCCCTGCTTTGCTGTCTCTTCTTTTCTGAGCCCTCGTTCTGTCAGACCGGCACATCATTAGTCATGTACAAAAAAAAAATTGAATTACTTATTTTTTTTTGTGTTTTTAGAAGCGTATGGCGATCTGACATTTAATTATTTTTTTTGTAAATGACTAAAGTGATACACGCCTGATGAGGTAGTGTAAAGTTTATTTTTTGTACAAAACTAAAGAGATAAAAGTAAATCTGATATCTTGCAGATGCGTGTTGACTATGGGTATGCTGGTCTGACAGGGTATGCTGTTCTGACAGAAAAGCTGCTCTTCATATCAGCTGAATCTGGTCAGCTGGTCTCTCAATGCCATTGATCAAACTTTCTCCACTGGAAGGCAGGAACAAGTCAAGCTAATCTGGACTGAATAAATTGAAGCAAGTTTGTTCCACAGGTTTTAGTGAGCAGAGTGAGAGGAGGAAATGAGACTTTTTTGCAGAATGCCAAAAGTGTAAAAATGAATGTTTTTCCATTCATCAAAGGGAATCTGGTCAGATAAATTTGCTGATTTCCATTATTGGAGACATTCTGCATAAGACAAGGCCTTTGCTCCTAAGATTTAGGCGTTAGTTCATGAAATTACCAATAATATCACCAAACTGAATAGAAAATAAGAATAACAGAGCGGCTTATGTAACGCATGCTGGTGACATCTGACCCCTCCTTGGAAATGTCTCTAGTTTCCACAATGCAAAACAAGTGGATCTAAAAAATAATTTTTTTCTTAATAAGTGCATTTTTTCTTAAAATGTAGGACTTAAGTGACACTTTGCCTGTGGAACAAGACAATTTATATTTTAAAATAAAAATCAAGTGCATATTATCTAATTATTATATTTTAAGAGTAAAAACAAATCTAATTTCATTGACAAATCATTTTATTTACCTACTCAAATTAAGGGAAAATACACTTAATTGATTTTTTATTTATTTACTTATTTCTAGATTGTTTTTGCAATGCAATGATGCCGCTATTAGGGGGCGGGGCTAAAAATGAATACCTGCTGTTGCATTACTCCTGCAGAGTCACACATGTCAGGTGGAATTTTAAATCTCATTTATTTGTTTACACAGCTATAAAGCAGAAATTATTTGTGAAAAAATTATTTTGAAACATGTTTTAGAAATTTTAAAGCCCCATTTAGAAGGTGTGTGGATGAAACACCATGTGACTGAGTTTGGGCCATTTCTATAAATAGATAAACATGAGGAGGAGTCAGCAGGGCCTGGTAGCGGCGGGCATAAATAATCAGAACACCTGCCTTTTACTGCTCCATCCTCACCCCACCATCGTTTCTGCCAGTTTCAGACGGACCTTCACTGAACCAGAACCAGATCCAGAACTCGCTGCCAGACCAGAAACAGCTGACCTCAAACAGGTTCTGTTTTTATCTGGATCCAGCATCGTGTGGACCGGATCACACATCCAGGGAGCCAGGATGGACTTTTTAAAGTCAGGGGCTGTGATTGGACGCCAGCTGTGGAGTTTCCTCGCTGTGGGCTTGGGTATCTCACGGTACTCCAGCTTACGTTGCAGGAAGTGTGTCTCTGAAGAACTGCAATCAGCAGTGGGAGCAACGCATGATGGCCACTTCCTGTCCACCATGGGGGACATTTTCAGTCCTACTCCAGACTGGGACAGCTCTGCATGGACAGACGGCAGACCTAACCTGAGGTTACAGATCAGAATCTGCTTCCTTTGTTTGCTGATTTTAGATGCAAAGGTTTTTTTTTTAATATGCATATAATAGAAATAAAAAGTTGGTTGACTTCTGATGCATGCATTTGTTACTTCAAGGCTGGACTATTGTAATTCTTTACTATCAGGAAGTCCACAAACAGTTAAAAGCCTTCAGCTGATCCAAAATGCTGCAGCCAGAGTTCTGATGAAAATGAAAAAGAGAGATCATATCTCTCCTATCCTGGCTTCTCTTCATTGGCTTCCTGTTAAATCCAGAATAGAATTTAAAATCCTCTTTCTCACATATAAAGCCTTAAAGGAATAGTACACCCAAAACATGATTAGCCTTCATTTTCTACTCACCTCCATGCTGAACAACACTCTGGAGTACTTTTTTGATATCTCAAATGCATCTGGAGATCTGGGAGGCTTCTTGCTGTCTGCTGACATTCAAATAATGGAGGTCCATGGCGCCCGAGGCAGAGAGGTCCATAAAAGTCCACAAAAAACGTGTCAATATTCCTCCATACTGCTCGTCCAATGTATTCCAAGTGTCCTGAGTGGGTAGCATCCAGAATTTACTCGAAACGAAGTCATTTAGAATGTTTTTAGAGCATAAACAGTAGTGTATAGGATTACCTAAAAGCGCGCGCCTGCGGGTTCATGACGCTACGGAAGCCGGCAGACCAAACCAGCGCATTCAGCTCGGCAAAGAACTCATGCTCTTCCTCAACACTGAAGTCCTCAGACATTTTTCTTTCGTTGTTTCTTTCTTTGCACAGGTAAACAGCACATTTCTTCTTCTACGCTTGCATTATTGGAAGAGCAGACGCTGAATGCGCACCTTCATCTGGTTTGATCTGCCGGCTTCCGTAGCGTCATGAACGCGCCGGCGCGCGCTTTTAGGAAATCCTATACACTACTGTTTATGCTCTAAAAACATTCTAAATGACTTCGTTTCGAGTAAATTCTGGATGCTACCCACTCAGGACACTTGGAATACATTGGACGAGCAGTATGGAGGAATATTGACAAGTTTTTTGTGGACTTTTATGGACCTTTCTGCCTCGGGCGCCATAGACCTCCATTATTTGAATGTCAGCAGACAGCAAGAAGCCTCCCAGATCTCCAGATGCATTTGAGATATCAAAAAAGTACTCCAGAGTGTTGTTCAGCATGGAGGTGAGTAGAAAATGAAGGCTAATCATGTTTTGGGTGTACTATTCCTTTAAATGGCCAAGCTCCATCTGATATCAGAGATCTGATTGTTCCTTATGTTCCTAACAGAGCACTTCACTCTCAATCTGCAGGTTCACTAGTGGTTCCTAGAATTTCTAAAAGTAGAATGGGAGGCAGATCTTTTAGTTATCAGGCTCCTCTCCTGTGGAACCAACTACCAGTTTTAGTCCGTGAGGCAGACACCCTGTCTACTTTTAAGGCTAGACTTAAAACTTTCCCTTTTGATAAAGCTTATAGTTAGAGTGGCTCAGGTTATCCTGAGCTATCTCTATAGTTATGCTGCTATAGGCTTAGACTTTTGGAGGACATAGGGACCCCTTTTTCATCATTCTGCTTCATTCTGTCTCTATTCTCCCACTCTGCAGAATCTGTTAGTTCAATCTCTAACGTTCTGCTCTCTCTGCTTTTTCTCATAGTAGCTTCATCTGGTCTGTTCCTGTTTGGCTGTGACTCCATCCTGGAGAGAAATATCAGCTGTGCTGCTGCAATCAACACCTTTGTTTCTAGATGTTGGAGCTTGGCCTGTTTTTCAGTGTAGTCCTGTTTCTCTGACTGTGACTAACTGGATGTGCTCTCTTCATCCTCTGAAATGGGAGCTGGCTCGGAGCTCGTCTGCCTGGCTGTGTGTTTCCTGGACGGGGCCGCCTGTGGAGCTGGTTGACAGTTGCCTTTTGTATCTATGGTTCTTTTTCTATGTCTGCTTCTGTCTCCTTGAACCCCAGTCCGCCTCAGCAGATGGCTGCTCACACTGAGCCTGGTTCTGCTGGAGGTTTCTTCCTGTTCAAAGGGAGTTTTGCCTCTTCACTTTCGCTACAAGCATGCTTAGTGTGAGGGATTGCTCAATGAGTCGATAACTCGAAAACTTTGAATCAATCTGTTGTGAATTGGCGCTATAGGAATAAACTGAATCCATGGAATCATTGGCAGGTTTTTCCTCGCTGGATGATGCAGATCTGCTTCGATTATTCCTCCTGATACAGGAACGTTTACCCCTCTGAACAATCTGCCTTTTCTTTCTTAAAGTCTGATTGTCCATCAGCAGGTTGATGTGAGCAGGGGGACCTTCTCTGGAACCAAACCCCTGAAGACAGATCAATGCAAACCTGGAGATGCAGCTCAGAGGAAACAGATTTCCTGACTTTCTGGAACAGCTTCTAGTTCTGCTAAAAGCCCACAGAGTGGAGCATCCAGGCTGGCTCTGGTTCCGGGCCTTCAGGGGTTCTACCCCAGAGGGAAGAAGGGATGGGGCAGTTGCCGCTCTCCTCCAGCGGTATTGCTGCAACTCTCCCAGCCGGGTCGTAGAGGGAGCTCTCTGCTGCATCAGGCTGCAGGAGCCCCAGAGCAAGAGCCCAGCGAGCAGGGGCCCGGAGCTCCGCACTGAGGGGCCAAGAAGGAACTGGCTGGATGCGGGGATGTGGGAGATGTTAGAAGCGATGAGCTGCTGCTGGAGCTCAGGGCTGTTCTGCTGGGAGACGCTCCGCTAACAGGCCGCAGCCATCAGGGAGAGCTCCCGGCCTGAGCGGAGCTCCGGGCCGCTTTAAAAGGACACGTTCGGCCGGATCGAGGAGTTTGTGGCTTAATGGGAGCTTTTTTATTCGCATTTTAAGACTGCGCAGCGAAGAGGGCCTTTCATCCTGAGCTAGCATAACAAGCTAACCGCACCGAAGTCAGCGTCTGATTCGGAGCCTTTTTCTAAGATCTGCAGAAAATTTTAGCTTTAAACTCATTTCCTCCGTTTGGACCAGAAATGATTTAAAACACGAGATTTTATCACCTCAACCTTTTAGTTAGTCTGATCTGATGGCGGCTTCACCTTTGATTACCTGTCTAACCAAAGCAGGTGAAGGCTGACGTCACTGAGCGTTTAATCTGGATTACTGGGAATAAATCAGCCCGTAAAGGTGATGAGATGTTTAACTTGTTGATTAACGTCTTTAATCTACAACTGCGGTGAATTAAAGTTTGATTTATTGAGATTAAAACAGGCGGGCAGTTCTGTCAGACCAGCATACTCCGTCAGACCAGCATACCTACAGTCACTACCCGTTTATCTCTTTAAACTTTTAACTACCTCATCGGGCGTCTTTCCCTTTAATCATTTACAAATAACTATCTAATTACTTTTTGGTGTTTTTTGAAGCGTATGGCGATCTGCCCACAAGTAGTTTTTGTTCAGGACTAAAGGGATAAACGCAATCTGCGCATGCGCATTGACTACAGGTATGCTGATCTGACAGAACAGCGGCCTTCTGCTACCAATAGGACACTAACTTCAGAGTGATCAAAGTCTGGGAGACAAAGAGTCTAGAAAATGGACGCCTCGGCCTGAAGCGGACTAATTATCCGCTAACCGGCTCCCAATAAATACGCTCACAAACAGAATAGATTAGATCGCGGGCAGTAGGTCCCTCCGCCCGCCTTTAACCCCATTTTCAACGGATATTTTAAAAAACGATAGAGGGAGACAAACACCCTTCCACGAGCGTCCAGGACCCAGAGCCCCATCGTGACACCTAGAGGCCGGTTAAAGATCCTGCAAACTCCCCCCCGGTCAGGAAAGTAGTGCTTCCCTACCTGTTCCCCGGGGTTTCCGCTCCCTGTGGTCCCGCCGGGAAGCGCAGAGGCTCAGCCACAAACTTTGAGCGGCTCCTAACAAACTACTAGCTTCTTCGCAGTTAGTTTTAATTCCTCACCCGCTTTGGCAGAGTAGCTCTGCCACAAAATGGCAGTTAGGAGCTCAGTGCGCCTGTGCGGCCGCTGGGGGGTGGTGTCGGAGCCGAAGCGGTGACCTGATTGGCCAGGAGGGGGCGCGCGGCTAAAGACTGGCCCATTTACCCACAGACATAGGAGTAGAGCCGCATCGATCGTTTCTCCTATGGGCGCTGACGTGATTTGGTGGCGCCATCTTGGGGAGGTCGACAGCTCAGCTCAGTGTAATGTGTTGAGGGGGCACAGAATTAATTTCAATCAACCTTAACTTTCTGAATATTGAACTATATTATAATATGGAACTTTCACAGCTTTGTTTTATTGCTGAAAACAAACAAATGGTTTATTGTATTTAAATATTCTTAGTAGGGTTAAGAGGAATAGAGAATTGAGATGCAAAACACAGCCACTCATACATTTTTATAATTGTTTTTATTACTATATAAAGAAACATATTTATACAGGCATAAATAAATATACATAAATGTATATATATATATATATTGTAAAAATATTGTAAAGCGTCCACAGTGTATTATCTATTCTTCAGATACACATTATATTTGTAAAAAAAAAAAAAAAAAAAAAACTATATAGAACTGTTTTTTTTTGTTTTTTTTTAAATATCAATTTATATTTTATGTGAATGTTATTTTTACTCATGTTTTAGCTGTTTTGTTTTTATTTATACAGTTTTATGTTTTACTTATTCATTTATTTTCTTTACAGTACTTTGGTCAGCTGTGGTTGTTTTTAAATGCTTAAGAAAAAAATTGGGATTGGATATTTTTTTTTTTAATCTGTCACTTATTATTTTTATACACTTTTTAATCTCCACATTGTGTGACCACTTTTGCGGGACACTCTTTAGTGGGACAACAAAGGGAGTTTCTATTCTCTGATGCCTTCAAGAAATTAGCCCTCGAGCTCCGATGGCAACAGTCTGTTGACTTAAAGAAAAATATACTGCAGTGCTGAGGAATCCTTCTGCTCTGCTTAAAGCAACAGGTTAGGGGAGCAGGTCGACCTCCCCAAGAAGGCGCCTGTAATTCCTGCGCCGTAACATTCAATGTGGGTCTACTCTTATATTATGTCCAACATGAGGAGGAGGATTCTGGCCCATGTAGGAATAAGTGGAAATGAAAGAGCAGACCAAACAGCTAAAAAGTCAATTAGAACAAATAATATGACCTTACCTTATGGGTAAGGAGAAACTAAGGCAATAATCAAAAAAGAAATGAAAAAATGGCAGGATAGATGGAACATGGATAGAAGTGGTAGAAATGATTATAATGTGCAGAAATCTATTATTACCAAGGGGTGTGATTAGAAATAAAACGTTATTTTTATTAAGGAAAAGTAAAACAGATTAGTATATAGAATGTATAGTAATAGAAAATGTAGAACATATATAATAAATTGTAGGAAATATGATGAAGTGGTGATAAGATTAAAACAAAAGACAAGACAAATAGGAAGGAAAGATTAATAGAAACAACAAGAGAGGGGATAAAGGAAATACAAAAAGCTGTTATAAAGTATATTAAGAAATATAGGATTATACTATAAGATTAAAAATGTGTATTATATATATATATATATATATATATATATATATATATATATATATATATATATATATATATATATAGAGAGAGAGAGAGAGAGAGAGAGAGAGAGAGAGAGAGAGAGAGAGAGAGAGAGAGAGAGAGAGAGAGAGAGAAAGGGATGGATATAATTGTACAGAGATTGTGTATATAGATTTCGATATTAGATTGAACTAACAGATTCTGCAGAATAGAGATAGAATGAAGCAGAATGATGAAAAAGGGGTCCCTATGTCTTCCAGCAGTCTAAGCCTATAGCAGCATAACTATAGAGATAGCTACCTTTCACCTTTTAACAGTTAATGTGAGAAAAAATAAATAAAAACTGCTTTATATCCCTACATTCATTTAAATGTTATACCATTTTACTTTTCTAAAGAATAAGTTTTAGATTTTTTTACTTTTTTCTAACCCTGAAATTGAGCAGACTTTTAACTGCTGCTACACCCAAACATCAGAGTTTAGAGCAGAACTCTGACCACAGCGTAGCTTCCAGGTTCTCATGACTTAAAGTCCCTCGGAAAGTTAGAAAAAAACTCTAATTTAAATTTAGAAATAAATAGTGATCCTAAAGGGAAATTAAAATAAAGTAACTTAAATCATCTAAAACATGACTGGGAGGTTGGTGGTTCTCTAAATTGTCCTTAAGTATAATTCATCTATCCTGTGTCTCAGTGACTGCTGCATGAAAAGACGCAGTAGATGAACTGATATTTGTTGAAATTCATTTTAAAATCACACACAAGATTAATGGCAGACATTAACAGACATTTATGGGGAAGACAATCTTCCAGATGGAAGAATGAATGAATCAGTAAAACATATCTTTCTGTTACATCCAAAGAAACTCTGCGTCTCCCTAAAAGTAAGAATCATTGAGTCTATTTTAGGCTCAAGGATTAAGCTTAGCTGGGATTTTTTATTATCAGAAACGTCTTATGTTCTGTAGTTCTTTTTCACCTTAAAAAGAAAAACAACCCAAAAATTATATTTTGTATTTTCTTCAATGTTTCTACATAAGAAAAATAGCAATAGCAGCATAAACCCAGAGACACAGAATAGAACACTATTAACTGAACAGCAGAGTATTTAATGTTTATTACTCCAGTAGTAGTATAAATCCTACCGTTTAAAAACACTTTTGTAGAAGTTAGAAAATCAACTTTAGCTTTAAGCTTTTAAACTACAGATTATAGCATAATAGTGTAAGGAGTATGAGCAGGGGCGGATTTAGGAAATCTGGGGCCTTAGGCAAAGACAGGCAGGGGCCCCTCTGAACTGAGAAGACAACACATAGAACAGACCCATTCTACAGATAGAGAAATGTTAATAGAATAGACATCAATTATCTGTTCTAGGTTTTGTCCCTCTCTTGTCCCTTTTCTTCTTGTTTTCCTCTCTATGTTTTGTACTCAGCTGACTTTTCATGCTGTCTCTTTTTTCCAAGCACTAAGCTCACTTAGCTGATTGCTCTTTCCTGTGTTTCCAAAAAGGCCAAAGTAAATAACCCAGTCCTTCTTTTCACTGTAGACAAGCCATGATCTGCTTCTCTGTTCTCCATTTTTCATTTGGATGAAATAACAGCTGCATGAATCATGACAGCAGACAAGATAGAGGAGAGCAGGAGGCGGGGTTACCAATCTACTCGCTCTGGAGTTCACTGCTTTTAGATGTTGTCTCCAAAGTCTCCAGTAGCAGAAAAAAGTCTCCAAATTTGGCGCTAGGAGCTTTTTAGAAATCAAAGTGCTAGAGGGGTCTGAAAAGTGGCTAAATATAGCGACTAAAGCGCTAAGTTGGCAACACTGCTCTTTGCATGGTTTGTTTTCAAGTGGTTTGCTGCTGTCTGTTTGGACCTTTCTGAACATGTGCAGAAAATAGACATGGGGGGGGGGTCGGGGGGTGAGACACACTTAAAATTATTTGCACAAATAAGTAAGCTGTATTAATCATACATCTAAGCAGAGTTTTATGCCCCCCCCCCCGGAACTTGGTGTCACAGTCTTGGTTCCGTTAAGTTTTGTTTGAGTTTTTAGTTTCACGTTGATTAATGTTTGAGTTCTTAGGTTTTTCTTTGTTGCCCTCTTGTGTTGCTTCCCTATTCTCTAGCTCCTTTCTAGAAGCCTCTGTTCACACCTGCTCCCAATCAGCTCGTTAGTCCTGTCTTTGTTCAGTCAGCCAGAAATTCTCTCCCTGTGCAGCTCTTTAGGGCTGGTTCCTCGTATTTCTGGCTCCCTTATGTTTGTTTTCCCTGATGCAAGGTTCTGTATTTTTCCTGTATTTTGTTATCTTGGATTTTTGATTTTCCCGCCTCAGTTGCCTCTGAGTACTAAGAAATTTCATTACTTCTACATAAACTTACCTGTGCCGACTCACCCCCCCCCCCCCCAAGCAGAAGTAAAAATTGTTTAAAAATAATTACTTTAGTAAAATATATATGGTCAACATTACTACTAAATGTAATAAAGTATTTGTACTGTGTTACTGCTGGACGGTACAGGTTCCCTCTGCCTGACCTGCAGCAGCAGAGCAGCCTGTGGTTCTGCTGCTGGGTGTCATAGATTCTTCCTCTCAGTGACGCGGTTCTGCGTGGGTACCGGTACCTCAGCAGCGTGGGTCGGTCCTCTGAATGGATACAATCAGCATCTCCATCTATCTCCCTCAGCATCATGGATCATTCTAAAGGTTCCTGGAAGGCACTGAATCGACTTTCCACCTGATGAAACTCAGCAGATGACCTGAACTCATCACCATCAGCAGAAACTTTTGTCTCACATGGTATTAGATAATCTAACCAGAAACCAGGAATGAAAAACATCTGGAAAGAATATTTTTATTATTTTTGTTCACAGAATAAAAAAATCTGAAAGTTAAGTTTGATTTTCTTTTTGTATCTAAATGAATAATAAAATCAATGGTAAAGAAAAATCTTATATCCAGACATCCTCCTGTGCCTCATGATGTCATCGCCCATATTTGGCAAGGATGATCCTCATTATCTTCAGCTCATTGGTTAAAATATAACAAGAAAGAAGTGAAAAATATGATCTTTGTCTCTTTAATGGAGTTAAAATTGGTAATTAAACCAAATTTTGTCTCCTTCAGTGACAGACTGCTGCACCCTAAATGCACTAAGGAGCGTTATCCCAGCAGCTGGAAGACTCTAGAACCACCACTGTTCCCAACAACCTCAATCAGTTCTTCCATTCATGATGATTTTGCTCAGTTTCTACCTTAGTCAGTTAAATAACATGCTGCTGTCGTTTTGCACATCTCTGATGTTGCTGCTATTTTCAAATATCTGTTACTGTAAAAATGTCCATAGCTGGATATTGGTTATTTATTCTCCAGGTGCACAGTTTGATATTGTTAAAACAGTTTACGGTATTTTATTGTTTATATTTTAACTCTTCAGTATTTTATGCTTATACAATTTTCTAATGTCCACATTTGTGTATGACGGAGTATTAGCGCCAGACTAAAGTCGCGACATTACGAGAATAAAGTTGAAAAATAATGAGAATTAAGTCATTATACTAAAACTTGTTTCAGAAAGAAAGCTTGGAGCTCCGCCCAGCAGATGACGGCCGACCAGCTCCACCAATCAGCAACCTGAGTCCACTTTGACATCCTGCCCAGTTTGATGCTGCTGCTAAAAGATTTCCTGATTTGTCAAACTGATGCCAAAGTATAACTTCACATGATGCTCCACATTCCTCATTGTAGGGAAGAAAGGGTTTCTAGGAAGAGTTATCATAAAATACGACTTTATTCTCGTAATATTAGGACTTTATTCTCAAAATAAAAAATAAATCTCTAGCCTGGCCCTAATACTCCGTCGTATTTGTGTGACCATTTTTCTATAATCTTTTTGCTGCAGTAAACACCAGAATTTCTCCATTGTGGGACAATAAAGGGATTTTCTATTTTATTCCTTTGATTGGTTTTTGAGAGTAAAATGAAAAATGTTAAAATTTTATATTTAGAGACAAAAATCCAGCAGGAATACAGATTATAAGATTCATGGTTCTGAGAAAATCAAAACCCCAAACAGGATCTGGTTTTCTGTCAGACCAACAATCCCCGTCAGACCAGTATACCAATAGTCAATACCAGTTTATCCTTTTAGTTTAACACTTTAGTTTTGTACGAAGAATAAACTTTAAACTACCTCATCAGAGGTGTATCCCTTTAGTCATGTACAAAAAAAAAATTTAAATACTTTTTGGTGTTTTTGAAGCATATGGCGATCTGACCTTAAATTGTTTTTGTACATAACTGAAAATATAAAAGTAAATCTGACGTCTTGCAGATGCGTATTGACTCTGGGTATGCTGGTCTGACAGAACACTGGCTGCCAGCGAAGTACTACTTCTTTTTATAAAAGGCCTCAGCAAACAGTCACAGAGACAAAAGGGGCGGGAATGTTTTATATAATTTATCAAAAATATTCATATATTTCCAGTGCAGTAGTAAAGCAGAATAAAAGGCAAAGTAAAGCTAATAATAGATTAACAGACAAATTGCACTTATGATGAGCGGCTGGACGCCACATTTTGGCACCTTCAGAGAGTCTGTTGGTTCAAAGGTCATCTGGGTCCAACGCTTCTCCAACACAGCCAGGCTTCCAGCATACGATGCACCAGGAACACCAACCATACATGTTCAGCAATCCACGTCACCTCTGTGTTCCTGTTCTAGTTCTCCTTCTTTACAGTGTTTCATATTCTAATTAAAGCCAAAAACCACCTCAATCTTACAGTAACATGTTGACAGAAGGAAAAAGAATATCCCAGTCATCAAATAAAAGAATCCCTTCAAGCAAACATTGACAAAACAAGACTTAATCTTTGCTAACTTGGATAAAAACATCACTTCCTTATACCTTATACAGTGGGAAAAAAATTAAATCTAGATAAGTCATTTTTTCTTAAAATAAGTGAGTTTGTTCTTGGATTGTGGAGCTAAAAGAGACACTTTGCAATGGAACAAAATAATTTACATTTAAAATCAGAAAACCATTACTTTGTCTTATTTCAAGAGCATATAATCTAATTATCTTATTTAAAGCATAAAAATACTAATTCCATTGGAAAACCCTAATTTTCCTGCTCAAATTAAGGGTAAATCCAATAATTTAAGACATTTTTACTTATTTCGAGATGGTTTTGCCAGTGTATGTTCAGGTTTTCTGATTAGTCAGTCATGATTTAAATTAAATCTTTTTCATTTGCTTAGTCCTAATTAACCCACAGCAGAAAAAAATCAGGAGCCTTATAAAATAAATAATTTTCCTATGGGAAGGACAACTGTCAATAAAAACATGCACAAGCGTCAACCTTTGCAAAAATAAGTTGATGCGTATAATTTAAGATTAGCAGAAGTATTAATGTGTGCATGAAGTATAAATCCTGCTGTCGAAAAGGATACATTTCAGCTTTTTACTCCAGTAAAAGTGTAAAAGTACCATTTTTAAAACGTATAAAAGTTAAAGTAATGCAAGAAAAACTGTTAAGGCCAGAAGCTTTACTGCGCTACCCTATTAAAGGAACATTTTTCTACTATTCTGGATGATAACTTCCTTAGACTTCATTTTCTTAGTTTTATAACTAATGGTAACAGTGTAACATTTAACTTTGCTTCATCTTGAAAAACTGTTCATTTTGGTATGTGGTGAACAACAGGTTGGGGCAGCACCGAGTCCAACCACAAGGAAATTGTCTGGATGAAACCAATTATTTTGATGGTTTTTATTTGTTTTAAATACCAACAGGCCAGAATAAAAATGAGCCTAAATGAAAAAAAAAAGAATATTTTAAAATTTAAGGAATATAAGGAAAAAATTGTCTAATAATTAATCTAGTAAAGTATAGATAACCAACATTTCTTCTAAAGTAATGACTTATTTGTACTCTGTTACTTGATGGGTCTGAAGATTAGTATTTATGTACGTCAGCTTAAACAATATCTGTGAAAATATGAGTTTAGAAGTTAAAACTTTGCTAAAGTAGAAATTACAAATTTAGTTTATAAGCAGCTCATTATGAAGCTGTTCCACTTCTTATGCTACGTTCACACCTAAAGCAGCAGGAGCAGCAGAAACGCGCGTGCTGCTTCATTTTTGATGCTTGTACCAATTTAGTTCTGACCCGCGGCTGAAGCATCTTTGCTGTTCTAGCTGCGTGGTGTTAAAGTGGGTCTGATGCGCGTTGGGCAGAGCTACCCTATCCTTTCTTTGCCTGGAACAATGGCAGCTATATCTGCTGTGATCAGTGGGTAAAAAGTAGTTTGAATCTATGAAGTGAGAAAGTCCTCCTGAAAACATGGTCTGTGCAGTCAGTTCATCCAGATTACCATCCTGCCTTCAAATATTATTTCTCTGTGGGAGCCGCTCAGACCCCCACATACCGGCGCTGCGCTGTCACTGGGAATCCCCAGCAGCAGCTGCCTCAGGCCCGCTCACCTCTTGGGGGTTTTCCCCTACTGTTGATGGCGGCTGGAAGTAGATGTTAGCGTTTTTCTGGTCTGTGCTACAAATAGCAAGCAGCAGGATATTAAAAGCGAACATATTCTGCTGGCTGGTTTCTACATTTTAAATTAATTTAGGCGTTCATAAACTGTTTCAGAGGAGTGATCATAGCGCTCTGCATCAGCAGTGCTGTATCTGACTCCTTGCCAGCTCCCAGATCAGCTTCTCTGATTGGTTGATGTGGCGCCTCGTCCAGCAGATAAAGTTTAATTTTTCCAGCAGCTGCTGCTTTTGTGTCCCCTGCATCAGATGCTCAGAAGCTCATAAGGAGCTGCTTAGATGCTGCAGGACCCTTTCCTGCGGCGAGATGCACGTCAACCATTGACTTTGCATATAAACCAGCTGCTTCTGCAGGTCTGAATGAGCATTACCACATGGTGGCAGTAAAACCATTGATCGATCACACGTTATATCCTTCCTGTTTTCAATGCATATTTAATGTTGGATCATTGCTTTTTCTTTTGTTTACCTTCTTTTTCTTATCTTAAAGGAAAAAGGCTTTACTGCCACCTACTGGTAAGGAGTGTAACAGCCTCACCAGGGGGTGTAGCTTGGTACATGTAAATAAAGTAGTAACTTTTAAACCTATATTCTCACAGATTGATTAGTTGACAAGGAATGCCTACAAATCTTAAGTTTAATGACATATATTAACCTACATTTACAAATGTAGACGCCTGTGATTGTTTTTTTTATTGAAAGTTCTTTTACTCTATGGTTTTATATCGTCCTATAATTATAAATATATATAAATAATGTTTAGAGAAAAGTGGGCTGGACCAGGAATCCAGCGTTGGTTTGTTTGTTCGGATACTTGAGGGCGGATCCTCTCGGTAAACAGCAGGAGGATTTGGACGGCTGCTGACCAGCACATATTCAGGGACCCGACTGGAAGCAGGATGTCCAGCAGAAGGACCACCGATGCTCTACTCACATTTAAACCTACATTCACAGAGCTACAAAATTCCCAAACAGGAAGTTCTGCTGCATGTTCATCGTAAAAAGCATGAAATAAAACATTAAGGCACTAATTGAAAACTTCCTGATCTCCAATCTGTTCCTATAGCAGCGGCGTTGCACCTAAAGGCCTCCTCGGCAGAATGAGGTGTTCTTCACACCCAGAAAAGGAGGACGATTGTCATCACTCAGAGCAAAGTGACACATGAAGAGAAAAACAGGCAGTCAGTGTGTTTGCTGCTCAACAGGAAGCTGGATGGGTCTCCAAGGGGGGTCGTTCTGGGAGGTGTGGTGGAAGCTGGGCTCTTCTCATGAACTTTTGTGGACGGTTCCGTCTTTGGTTCTAATTGTTGGGAATTTTTACTCATCTATGTGGAAATCAGCATTTGTTCACCACCAGATGATCAGATGTTTTAGAGGCCGGCCCCTGGGTTCCCGGCCCCACCCCTTCCTATGAATGGCCTCACAGCTTCCAGATGATTCCTGCACCACCACTGTCTGTCTGTAGCTGTGTTTCCATTATATTTATCAATAATCTGTTAATGTTGCCATTAAAAGAAGAAATGCAATTTAAATCACGATTTCTCACATTTTAACTTGTTCGAAACTTCAGCAACTTCCTGTCGTCTCCTTCATTCTGTAGCTGGTGAGAATGTCTGTTGATGCAAACAGTTTGCTATTAAGTGAAAAACACCAGTCTCCAAACATCTGGGGAAAAAAACACCTCTGCATGGGAAAAACTTGTCAGCCTTTTAGAAATTACTCTTTCAGTTTAGGAAATGCAATCTGATGGCGAATGGAAACGCAGCTAGTGAGGCTTTCTAATTCTTAATGCGTCTTTGTGATGCCTTCTAATTTGCAGCAGCTGGATGACATCTGGATAAAGGCGACAAACCTCGGCTTTAAACGCTTTTAAAAATGGATTTAAACTTTTTCACTGGGAGTAATAAAAAGTTTCTCTGAGAGAAAATAAGGCAAAGTGACAGGATTAAAGGTATTTCATGATAAAGGGTTAATATGTGAGGCTCAGTCTGTGTTGGTTTCCTTCAGGAGCTCCTTTAACACCAACAGATGGAGTAGAGTCCAGCTGCTGCCTTTCTGCTGCAGGCAAACATTGAATCCGAGCTGCAGGAGATCCAGGTCCTGTGGAGAAGGAAGAACCGCCACAGCTGATTGGCTCCATTTTCCACGGTGAAGCTCTGTCTTCAGGCACCAGGAACCCTCCAGAGAATCCATGTGCGCGTCAATCTGGCGCCTGCTGTGGAGACGGCCGGCCAGAGGAGCGGCGATAATCGGTAGAAAAAGTGAAAACCTAAAATGATTCACTGTTCCGTATTAAAACAGGCGCTGGAGCGTGAACCCAGGGAATGTTTGAGCTGAGATAATCTGAAAAAGACTTCATTTAATTTTTAGGGTTTCACTTAATATCTTGGATCAAATTCAGTGTTTGTGACGACTTCCTATCAGTGTCAAAGGAAGATTAGTGGATTCCTGTTCCTCCTCATCCTCTGAATGTGCTGCTGGCTGTTAGAAGGCGGTGCTGGCCATGCTTCCCGGAGCAAAGAGTCTGGGCAAGCCGTCCTGAGAGATCTCCACGTGTCTGTAGGCCATCTTTCCTTCCTCACCTGTTTCACACAAAAAATAAGAAAAGGCTGGTGAGACACAGCAAAGAAAATAGAATTTATTTACGTCTTCATCGTTTGGGACGATCTTTCTGTTCCAGGGGGGTAAAAAGAAGGGAAATGGTGGAGCTATAACCATTATTTATTTTTTGGTTCAAAGCCTTTAATGAAACAGAAAAGTCTTAGGGTGTGCTTTTAAAATGATTCCCTGTGATCAGATGTTCTTTACAAAATGCTGAGGTTCCGACAGGAGTGTTTGCATCAAAACCGGCAGCTCAAAAAAATGACTGAATGATCATGAAGCTCAAAGGTAACAGCAGAGGAAGAAATCCGAGAAGCTTTACTCTGGAGCCCGTGTCTCCAGAAGAGGAAACATAAATGTCTTCGGATCGCATCTGAACCCATTTTGTGCTGGAAAGCAGCAACTGCTGCTAATAGCAGTCTAAAAAGGCGTAGCATCATGGCGGCGGGGCGTCGTGGCATCATGAGAGGATGATGAAGATGTTTGCTCTGAAGGAGATCAGCCAGCCTTGTCAATCAACCAAAGCTCCATTAGTGGGTCTTTCAGTCCCATCTAAAAAGTTAAAATTTAAAGGAAATGTCCTGTTTGACTTTTGGGACAAAAATACATTTCCTCGCCTTAAAAAAAAGATGTGTTCATTTCTTTATTATTATAAATTTATTTCTTATAAAACTTTGAAGCGTATGGCGATCTGACCTTAATTTTTTTTCTTTAAAGGGGTAAAAAACAACAAATAGATTAAATAAATAAATCAAACCAATGAACACCCACAACGATCCGTCTTTGATCAGTTTGCTGCTCTGCAGAGACACAGACGTTTGGAAACACAATGCCAGGATGGAGGCATATCGATAGAGTGACATAGATGCTGCTGTTCGGTCTGATAAAGGTCAAAAGGTCATTTCCAATTCCTAATCCTATTCTAAAAAATTCCCTCTAAGCTCAGACCCTACAGAGCAAATCTAACCAGAAGGACCAGCTCAGAGTCTACATCCATCGAATGGTTCATGGTTGGAGGTAAAATTCATGACAGGAAACTAAGAAAAAGAGCATTTAGCCACTTTTCAGACCCCTCTAGCACTTTGATTTCTAAAAAGCTCCTAGCGCCAAATCTAGCGACTTTTTTCTGCTACTGGAGACTTTGGAGACAACATCTAAAAGCAGCGAACTCTGCTCTCCAGAGCAAGTAGATTGGTAACCCCGCCTCCTGCTCTCCTCTATCTTGTCTGCTGTCATGATTCATGCAGCTATTATTTCATCCAAATGAAAAATGGAGAACAGAGAAGCAGATCATGGCTTGTCTACAGTGAAAAGAAGGACTGGGTTATTTACTTTGGCCTTTTTGGAAACACAGGAAGGAGCAATCAGCTAAGTGAGCTTAGTGCTTGGAAAAAATCTTTCATTCCTTTAGAGACAGCATGAAAAGTCAGCTGAGTACAAAACATAGAGAGGAAAACAAGAAGAAAAGGGACAAGAAGAGAGGGACACAACCTAGAACAAAGAAGGGATGTCTATTCTATTAACATTTCTCTATCTGAATAATGGGTCTGTTTTATGTGTTGTCTTCTCAGTTCAGAGGGACCCCTGTCTGTCTTTGCCTAGGGCCCCACATTTCCTAAATACGCCCCTAGTTTGGCCTAAACCAAAATAACACAAAGATCAGACACCAACTGTGAAGCACGTTGATGGAGAAGTGATGGTGTGGGCTTGCTTCACTGAAGTCTTAACAGAACAATCATTTCCATTCCGCCTTATTTGTTCATTAAGAACAGTTAATCTGTTTTGGTGAACTTCATGTTCTGAAACATGAAACTGTTTAGTTTCACGCGTTTCCTTGATTGTATACAAGTCGTCTCGTACAGTGACATCATAAAAACCAACTTCTCTGATGTGAAACAGAAAGGAGTAGGAATTACCCAACGTCAGCAGAGCTTGTTTGGCGGCGTCTCGGACGTCCTCCTTGTCTGTTTGACAGACGTACACCAGTTGTTCGATGCTTTCTTTGGCCTGGAGGGAAAAACAGAGACGGATGAACAGAGGATGAAGAGGCCTGCTGCTAAATAAGCACCGTGACTCATCCATCAATCCTACATCAGAATAAAACTGGTGAAAAGTGGACGGTTCATGGAGACCTTTGATGCTTCGTTTTTCAGGTTTAGATCCAGGATTTAAAACACCAACATGCATGGCAGCATTGGAGCCAGTTCAACTGCAGCATAGCTAACTGTTAGCATAACGATATTACAGCTTTCATTGATTTATTTCAAACTTGATACTTTGTTTAGCCTGTAAGGTGTAAAAAAAAAAAAAAAATGTAACTGATTAATCGGATTGAATCGTATCGTGGTGTATTCTTGAGTATCGAAAATAATCGAATCTTTGGGTCAGGAAATCGTTACAGAATCGAATCGCCATGATGGATGTGATTTACATCCCTAGTTTTTTCCGTTCTTTCAGCAGCTCTTCTTTCCCTTTTCCTTTCGGAAATCTGCTTAAGTACCTCTTTCTTGGTATCCATTGTGGCTAACAAATTGTACGTAACGGTTATGGTTTTAATCTACGCTCTGGATTACCTATTTTAAAAAATAAAATACTCAAATACATTGTTCTTTTAAGATCTATATTGCAGTTTAAAACATATTATCAGTTTATTTTTTTACCAACTGTCTAATGAACTATACTCAGTTAACATAGTAATTGAAAGTACTCCTGTCTGCTTTGCTATTGGTGTTGTGTTTAAGCGCCTCACCATCATGGTGAAATCTGCCATGTGTTGCCGTATGAATACGGTGCGGTCAGTCAT